CGCGGGGCGCGCGGCGGCCGTGGGAGGCGGCTCCACGCTGGGCGCCGGGAGTGCGGGCGCCGACCCCGGCCTCCCTCATGACCTTGGGGAGGCCGCTCCGCCGGGCGAGGCCCGGGCTGGGGACAGGGGACGCTGCCTGTGCCCCGGAGGTCGGCTTGGGGCCGTGGGGCTTCCCTGGGCTGGGCAGGCGAGCCTGCTGGCAGAGTAGGTGCTCAGTAGTTAAGAGAAAGGTTTGTCCCAGCAGCCTTCAAGTTTGTGGGAAGGCCCTGGGAATGAGACCTCATTTCCCATGGACAGAAAGTTGTACGTGGTGGCTGGGTGCCCAGGCTATCCCACAAAGGACTGTAACTCTTCTGGGCCCTAAGAGTGCTTCCTTTCCTGGGTGGGTCCTGGATGTCCAGCCTACTCATCCCAGAGCAGGGGGCCTGGTGGGCAGCTGGGGCTTGTCCCTCAGATTGGGGGTCCTGGAACAGCTGATGAACTTGTCCCTAGGCCTTGGTAGACTAGGGTGAGCTTGGGCCTGTGATTTGGCAACAAAGTCCCCCACGTTTGCTCCTGGGTCCCTTGGCCTTGTTATAGGTGACCACTCTTGACTGCCTTGAGCCACTTTTCAAGTGGAGGGCTGGTGCCTTGGTGGGGGCTTGGTTCCCTGCCCCCCACCCCCAGCTGAGTGGAGATAGCTCACAAGCAAGTGCTCTGGGAGCCTCTCAGTAAACAGTATTTTTTAAAAAGGTGTGACTTAAGTAACAACAGTAGCAATAATATGCACTGTGGTAAAGGTATTCTGTATGGAGCAGCAGGATGTAGGGTCCCCTATGCTCCACTGCCCTGCACCCAGTGGCAGCTTTGGTGCAGGCCTGCTGTATGTGTTTCTGTGCAGTGCTCACCATCCTGTGTGCACAGATATATTTTTACACTCAGCTCTCGACAGCTGTCTGAGTCAGTAGCGGGCCTCAGGCTCAGGTTGGGGTGGGGGGCGGGGGGATGTCCAGAGGTCTTTAGGTCCAGCCCTCTGCCTCTAGCCATGCCTAGTCATTGTCACCAGAAGCTCCTGTGACAGCTTCGTACCCAGGCTCAGAGCCCTGCACTTGGAGCCCTGTCTCCATGGTACCCTCCTCTGTCTGTCTTCTGCTGCCCCTGGGCCTGCTGGGTTCTTTAGGCCCTTGCATCTTGGGACAAGGTGTAGTTTTCCCTGTCTTGGCAGACAAGGCAGTGGGGGACTTTCTGTCATTCTGAATTTAGCTTAGGAAAATAAAAAATGCCCCCCTGTGGATGCCCAGAAGGTGATGGGCCAGTATCTATACTGGTCATAGAATCCACCCACAGAAGTCCTCAGAGGTCTCTGAGAAAATCTCCTTTCCTTTAGGAGTGTCCATCTGCTTATAGGAAGAGCATGCCAAATGCTTTTTCCCAGGATGCCCAGAGTTGGTGACGTGGGAACTGGGTTTTGAGGGATACTTATGAGTTCATCCAGCAAGGGAGAAATGAGGAGGGCTGTGTAGGATCAATGGCCAGAGTGTACTCAAGTGAGAGCTGGCTGGTGGGCCACTGCAGAGTGGGGGCTTAGATGGTACCCTCCCATTTGTTGCCTCCTGAATGCTGTAATTATGGGTCTGTAACCACCCTGAACTGAGTGCTCCTCATCCACAGGACCTGTCTGAACTTCTCTTTGTCCATAGCGCCCAGCTCTGGGCCTGGCAAAAACCAAAGGTGCTTGATATATGTTGGCTGAATGAATAAACAAGATTCAGGCCGGCAGGGGCGCTGTGGTTTAGGAGGAGTCTGGGGTTTCTCCTGGAGAGTTTTTTAGCATCATCCTGGAGGGCTCTGGGCTCTCACTTGTGCCAGTGGCCAGGAGTCCTGGGCTTTCCTTCTTCATGGTTAAATTTCTCTGCTTTCTGGGTCTGGGAAGTAGGGAGGAGGAGCTCCGTGTGACCTACCCAGGATACCAGCCTGTGGGTGGAAATAGCATGGACAGGGAGAACAAATAGGGTGTTTGTCACCAGGATTTTGGGGAGGCTGAGCCAGCTTGGGCTGAAGAAGTCCAAGGGGCTACCTGGAGGAGGTGGCCTCATCTGATTCAACAGGTGGAGATGGGAGAACCTTTGGGGGCTGGGAATGACTTGTCTGAAGGCCAGGTAGGAATGGGGGGTCGAGCAAGGTAATAGCTCTGAGGGCCAGGCATTTGGGTAATTGGCAGAGGGTTGGATTCCTGGTCTGAGGAGAGGCCCAGGTCTGAGAAGCAGCGTGCAGTGACTCAGGAAGGCAGGCATGGGTGGAGACTTCAGGCCACACAGTGAGCACTGGGCTCACCTTAGGGGCAAGGAGCTGCTCTACACTGGGCACGGCCTCATGCACAACTTCCTTTGTCAGAGGCTGTGGCCAGGCAACAGGGCCCAGGGGGTCCTGAGAGGAGCTTGCGAGCACTGCCTGGGCCGCCCAGCGTGCCTGAGACGTGGGCACCATGAATGACGTGGCCATCGTGAAGGAAGGCTGGCTGCACAAACGAGGTCAGTACCCAAAGGGGCCAGGTCTGGGGATGGAGGGTCAGGGAGAAGGCTCTGCCATCTGCCCAGAGGGTCCTGGGGTCAGTGAGGCCCGGCCTTCAGGCTTCTATGCTTTGGGGGTTCCAGGGTCTGGTCTGCCAGTGTGTGTGTCTGGACCTGCAGGGCAGAAGGGGCTGTCTTCTGGGCTCCTGGACTGGCCTGGGGGCAGTGTCCAGGCCCCCACATCCTCCCACAGCATGGAGGGTGCTGCCTTGTGGGGCCTCCTGGGTGGGAGGGGCAGCCCCATGCAGGGCCAGCCATTGGAGTGGCTGCCCAGTTAGGCCCTGTGGGTGGAGAGTCACTGCCAGCCTCCTTCCCGGCTTTCCTGGAAGGCAATGAGGACACTGGCCGTTCCAGGGCTGGCACTGGCCAGGGCTCCTGAGGGCAGGGCAGGGCTGCTTGGCTTGGCCTGGTGCCTGCCTCAGGCCTGGCCTTAGGACTAGGGGGCTCTGCACTGCCCAGGGGCCCAGCATGGGGCATTTTTGCCATTGGAACTGCAGAGTTGGCACTTCAGTCCTCTCCTCCTCACTCAGCCTCTGCAGCCCAAGGAGGGGGTTACTGCCCCCAAGGGACTTTGCCAGAAGCTTGTGGGATAGGAACTGCAGCCATGGCCCTCCTCTCTAACCCTGCCTATGGGCCCCTTGCATGGCCCATCCTTTGCTGCCCCTCTGTACTGCCTAGTTGGGCTTCTAGGTGCCATAGCTGAATCACTCCCTCCTGCTTCAGGGCAGAGACTGGCAAGCCCCCCTCCCAACTTCCTCTTTCTCCAGACTTGTTTCCTCCTGAAGTTCTGGTGACCCATGTCAGTGGCTCATCACTACTCGTGTGTGCTCTCTAAAATGGATCTCTCATCTTTGGGAAGGGGACACTCTGGACACAGGGCAGACAGGGAGGTGTGGCAAAAGTGGGTGTCACAAGATGGGGTTTTGTGGGATGTATAGGAGCTCCCTGGCAGAGCAGGCCTGGGAAGCCACAGGAGTGGTGGGGAAGAGGCAAAGGAGAAACCACGATAAGAGGCCAGGAAGTCTAGGAGAACTCAGAGCAGGGGCTAGAGGATGTTCAGCTATGTTTAGAGAGCTCCACTGGGCAGCAGTGGAGAGCCCATGGTCCACAGGGAGTGCCTCACTTGACCTTCCCCAGGCTTCCTGTCCCACCTGCTTTCTCTACCCCTTCCTTGCTCTGTGCCTGATGACCACTCAGACTTGAAGGGCTGCAATGTCAGGGTCCCCCTCTCCCCTGTCCTTCTTTCTCTCCTCTGTGCTGTGTATCCTGCTGCCTGGGGCTGCTACTTCTTAGTCCTTGGCATATGTTTGTTGATTGGCTATTAGATTTAGGGCTGATCTAAGAGATGCTTGGGCCTAAAGACTGGAGGCCCAGGCCCCAGTTACCGGGATGTCCGCTGGCCAGCTGGGCCCAGGCAGGAGTACCCCTTCAAGGGCAGTGAGCTTGAGGTTGCTGTTTATTATTGGTGCCTTCTGAAGGGGCTGGGTAGGGTCTGAGGACATCAGGCCCAATGGAGCATAACAAGAGCTGAGTCTGATCTTTGATTTGGCCACTCTATCACCACATTTCTCTCTAATGGAAGTTCATTGACCTCGGGGCTTCGTTTCCCTGTCTGTGCCATGGGAGTGGAGGCAGGGAAAAGACCTCATGGAGTGGCTGGCATAGTTGGTGAGGGCCCTGGTCAGGGTGCCACCAGCCTCAGCATCCTCAGCCAGCAGAGAGGGTCCCTTGCCCTGACTCTTTTCCTCTGTCCCCAGTGGTGGTGGCTGGGAGTAGAAGGTAGACATGTTCCATGTGCCTGGTAGCACTGGCCCCTCTTGGTGCTTTGTGAGCAGATGGGTGCCCCAGCTGCGTGGCCTGCCCCTGGCTTGGCAAGAAAGGCCCATCCTCAAGGGCACTCCCTATTGCCCCCTGTCCCCTGGGTTCTACCTGTGTGTAGTAGACATGCCTGCTATACTGATGGCAAAGCCAGGCTCTTGCCCATGATACACTGGGGCCAGCAGGGCCACATTGGGCTGAAACCTCTCTGCTTCGTGGTGCTCAGGGCTGGATCAGGGAGAGAAGGAGGGACACCGCAAGCAGCTGCAGGCCCAATCCTGGCCCCTGGTAGATACCCCAAGTAGCTTCCCCTCCTTTCCTTCCACTGCAGGTTAAGGTGCTATTCTGGGGCCTGGAGCCAGGTGCGTTCTTGACTGAGCCCCCAGGGTGACATTCTCACCAGTCCTTATTAGTGTGGCTGCAGGGGGAGTCACGGTGCCTGTAGAGGATAGATGGGCCTGGAGATGAAGGTGTGGATGTCCTCCTGTGTGTAAGAGGCCACAGCCACATCTGCAAACTTCCTCCTGCTACCCCTGGGAGGTGGGAGCCAGTCTCTCAGGAGTCACCTGTGCTTTCCCATGTCCTGTGTGTCTTGGCTAGAAGGTCCTGGAACTTGAGTTCCAGCTGTGTTGGACCTACGGCTATATACCCAGGAAGGCCTCTGGACCTCAGCGTCCCCATCTGTCCCCCAAGGAACTGGCCCCTGGTTGTGAGCTAGTGAGGAGTGGTCAAGTAGGTGGTACCAGGTGGGGCTCTCAGGGACAGGTGGGCAGGTGTCTTAGCTGTGGTGGCCGTCTGTGTGATGAGCTGCTCAGATGTGCTGTTTCCAAAGATTGGGCCTACTGTGTGAATTGCTTTTGGTTTTTGAAAGTTGACAATCTTTTAAAAACTGACTATAGCCAGAAGGCAGTTCTGGCTGCCCTCACTGGCAGCCTCTGGGCTTCAATAGCTCTGTACTGAGGCTGCAGGCCCCAAGGCGTGCCCACCTAACTGTCCTGGTGCCAATATGTGCTGCCTACTGTGGCCCAGCCCCACAGAGAGTTGCTCCGGTAGAGCCACAGCCCACAGGGTCCACTCTTGTCCACTTGGCTGGGCTTGCAGCTGTCCTCCTTGGTGTCCCCTGGTCCTCAGACAAGTTGGCTGGACCAGGTAGGCCAGGATGCTGGCACCCAGGGTGGAACGGCTGTGGGTGCCTGAGAACGGGTGCTGGCCACAGGGCACCTCCTATCCTCCCTAGGCTACCATTTGGCAGGCCAGGGGCAAGTTGGAGACAATTGAGGGGAGCAGCCTGTGGTGTGGGGTTCCCCTGTCCCTGGCCCACACCTGGAAGTGGCCCCACCTCAGCAGGGCTGGTGAGGGAGGGAGCCTGTGAGCCTCTCCCCTCAGCCTGCAGGACCACATGGACAAGAGGGCAAGGCCTCAGTTTCCCTGGCTGTCAGATGGGGTCAGCTCCAGGCTACATCCAGGTGGCCTCTTGGGCCTAGGAAGGCGGGGTGCAGGTGGAGTTTGGCAGGAGGGCTGGACGGAAGGTGGTTGAGGGATAGAGTGTGGGCCCATGGAGGCTACAGTGCCTGGCAGCAGCAGAGGCTGGGTGGTGTGGGGGAGTTCCCTGTTTTGTGGGCACGTTAAGTTCTCCCTTTGGAAACAAACAACAAAAGAGGAAGCTAAATGGCCTTACCCAGGAGGCAAGGGGTCACTGTTGGCCAGAGCCTGGGACCCTGGGCCTATGTACCTGGGGGTTCCCAGGGATGCCCTGTAGGGGCTGGACTCTAGGGAACCGAGGGGAGGGGAGTAAGGCTGGGGCCTTGGGACCTACCCACCTACTTGGGTGCTGGGATAGCCTTCATAGATCTCCCAGCCACCCTGTCACTCTGTGGGGGTAGCAGAGTACCTCATGTGGAGGGCAGCTACGGCCAGGAAGGTGATAGGGTGGACTATGGGTTGAGTAATTAGTGCCCTGGTAGTGCCCATGGGGCAGTCTGTGCCCTGCCAGGGAGCTCCCAGAGGACACCTGCTGGGTTATGTCAGGCTGGGTTCCTAGAAGCACCTAGGGAGGGTTGGCGGAGGGAGCTGGCTCAGGCTCCTCTGCCATCCCCTCTGCCCAGCACACTCAGCTGGCTTGGGGCCAGCATCCTACCCTCAGGCCCTCCTGTCACTGGAGCAGCAACTGTCACTCTGGGCCTTTCCCCACGTCACCCCATTGGTGGGCAGGCACCCATTGCCCTCATTTACCGAGCATCAATGCCCTTCGGGTGGCCCCCTGAGCTCCAGGGCAGGTTGGCAGAGGGCCCTGGGCCCCAGGCCAGACTTAGGAGCCACAGGCAGCCTGACTCTTGTGGGCCCCCTCCACAGGCCCCCCAACTCCCCTGGCCCCCATCTGTAGGCCCCATAGGGGTACCCCTTCCTCTCACCCTGCTCACAGGTAATTTTTCTGTACCTTAGGGAATAACAGGTCCACATCAGAAACATTGGAATGAGGACAGTAGGGTCTATCGTGATATTCCTGCCAACCATCAGGGCTTTGAGGTAGCATCCCTTGGGTTTGGGCTTACCCCTCAGGAAGCCCCAGGACTGCGTTCCCCCACCCTTAGCCCCAACTAATCTGGTGGGCCCCTGCCCAGAGGTGCCAGGGTTGCCAAGGTCACGTGGGGTTTCCAGAGTCCTTGAGAATGCTTTGTAGGCCGCAAGGTGGGCAACCCAGCCTGGGCAGGCTTCGTGGAGGAGGTGGTAGCTCCCTGGGCCTTGCTGAATTCTGAGGAGCCCTCAGCTGGTGAGGGGCTGGCTGGGCAGAAGCAGCTGAGTCTTTGCTTCTATGTCCTCTGGGTGTTTGTAGGGAGCGGGGAGGGCTATAGTTTGGGACCAACACCCAGCATCACTGTGATGGCTGGCAGGTCACTGCCCAGGACCCTGGAAGGAGCCTGTGCTGTGTTTCCACTTCCTTTCTTCAGGCTGGTGTCCCCACACAGGACCCTCATCAACCCCATGTCCCCTGGGAGAGTGCTATGGCTTGCTGTCTTCCTGTCCAGTCCCCTAGGAGCCCTTTCACCCTTCTTGCATGGTTGGGTCCATTTGGCTCTTGGCACAAGATTGAGGGGGAGAGGTGTCCCTCTCAGGAACTGTCTGAGAAGCCCCTGGACTAGGCGCTGTCTCTGACAGGGCCACCTGTGCACCTCCTAGGGCTGCCATGTTGAGGGAGCCAGAGGCCTTAGTGGCCTGAGAATGTGTGGGCTCCAGGATGGTCCTTCTTTATGTGTGGTGTGGCTGAGGCTGCCCTGGTCCCTAGGGCCCTGTTATCACTGGCTGAATGAATGGTGGGGCTTGCAATGGTGCTGAGCTGGTAGTGCTGCTGGGGGGGGGGGAGGGGGACTGGGAGACACACAGCAGGCGGAGGGGGCAGGTGAGGCAGGATCCCAGAGGCTGCTGCCAGAGAGAGACCATGGAAACTGGCTGGGCGGAGGGCACCTGATAAAGCCGGTGGTACTGCCACAGAGAGCTGGTAGGGTGGGGGGTGCCTCAACCGCAGGGATCCTGAGCTGGCTGGGTGGACCGTGCTGGGGTGGGGATTGCTGGGCAGGGGCAGTACTGATGGGCTCAGTGATAGATTGATAAATTAGGTTTGTGGTGGGGTAGGGGGCTGGGAGCCCACTTTCTCTAGCCCAAAGGGTGGGTGATGGGTAGAGGAGGTAGATTGGTGGGAGGACGGCCAGGTGGGTGAATGCTCAGGCCCAAGTGGTTTGCAGGTGGCTACTGCTCACTCAGGAGGTATGGCGAGTTGGAGGTGGGGCTGTCAGATGGCCTAGACTCCTTCGGGAGCCACTGGGGACAGATCTATGCTTATGAAGTAGCAGAGGGGTCAGGGCAGTGCCCCCAGGGTGGCCCTGCCTTCTCCCATCCCTCCTGAGTCACAGGGTGTTCGGTGGGAACCCAGCAGTGCAGTGGTCTCTGCTGATGCTCTGGCTCTCAGTGGCTATGAGATTCCAACTCAGCACTTACAGGGTTTGAGGGATTGCACCCTCCTGGTGATAAGGGGACATGGGACCCCCGGCCTGGCCCAGGGCTGAGACCTGGGAGGCTGGCCCACCAAGATGACCTGTGCTGGCCACTGCCTGCTGGCCCGCCTCACCAATAGAGGCGGGTGGCTGTGCGCTGTGGGCTGCCGTCAGCAGCCCGTCTGCTCAATGTGCTGGAGAAGGTAAATGGCGCCCAGCAGCTGTCGGCCACGATGGATGTGCTGGCGGCAGGGGACCGCGCGGTGGCCGCTGTCATCTGGCACCCGCTCCCCAGGCCTGCTGGGGCTCACTTTGCTGTGGAGAAACAGTCGGTGCTGCCTGGCGTCCTGCCAGCCGTTGCCTGCCACCACCTCCAGGGCTGCGGCAAAGTGTTTATCCAGCAGTTTCCCGAGAGCTGGGGACTTTGGGATTGTGGTTGCGACGCTAAGCTGTGACTTGAAGGGGCTGGTACACCTGGCAGCTCAGGAGGACTTGGGTCAGGCCCGGGACATGGGGTGCTCACCCAGGCCTGGCCACACAGCTGCTGGTTCTGGCCCCTACATTTGTGGGTGCTGCTTGCAGTGCCCTGACTATGGTGTGGCCATGATAGTGGAGGTGTGGGGGCTTCCTCCTAGCACCCCAGCCTTTGGCCTGGGACAGGTTGGTGGGGTGGAACCCTACTTTTCTCAGGGGCCTCTAGCCCTTTGCCAGGGTGAGCAGGGGATAGGTAGAATTTCCCTTTTGCTGGGAAGCTGTCCCATGGAATGCTGGCTGACAGGGTAGCATTCTGAGGGACCTACTGAGCTCCCCAGTGTCTGTTTCTCAGCCAAGGCCTGCTGTGGGCCTGTGCTGTGGTACCATGCCCTGCAGTGTGCAGGGGTGTCGGCTTGAGGACCTTCAACTAGGCCGTGCAGATGGGTGCAGTGGGTGGGCACTGACCTTCTCCATACCTGCCTAACTGGACTTTGCTCCTGCCTATCTCGTGGGGGAGTCCAGGAAGAATTGGGAACCTGCCCAGGATATGTGTCTAGCACCTCAGGCTACTGAGGACCAGCACATGTGTAGCCTCTTCTATTGAGAGAGTGTGGGCTCTAGAAGTGGGGACATGTGTGCCCATCACCCCTACGCTCCCAAGGGAACCTGGAGGGCAGGTGCCAGCCCATAGGCAGCAACAAGGATGGCAGTGGCCTGGCCCTGAGGTGGCCATCTCCTGTGTGTTCCCCAGCCTATGTCACCTCCAGTTCTACAGTAGGGAGTCAGAGGGGCCTGGGTGCCTGTCATCTGGGCTGGCTGCCTGCCCAGTGTCCTGTCTGGCCTGAACTCTTTAAGATGCAGGCTATGGCCCAGGACACAGTTAAATCTTTGGGCGCCCCCTGGCTGGACCTCTGGGCAGGAAAGGAAGAAAAAAGTCCTGTGTGTCTCTGGAGCCTGGCCAGGCCTCAGGGTTCCTGCTCCTCCAAGAGCAGTGACAGGCCAGCCCCTTCTTGCCCATGAGTTCCCTGAGACTGTCCTGGGCCCAGCCACAGGCAGGCCATGGTCCTCTGGGCCTGTGAGTCCAGACAGATCTCCAGAGCCTCTGGCGCCTACTGCACCCTGTTCCATCTCCCAAAACCTGCCTGGCTAGGGCCTGTGGGGTGAGAGCTGCTAAGAGGCAGGTGCAGGCTTAGGGCTGGCTCTGGTGGGCAGACTGGGTGTGCCTGCTGCACAGGGGGCTGCCAGGCACAGTGGGGGTGGTGGCAGTTGGTAGATCGGATGGGTTCTGGGTGCTCATCAGTCTTCCCGCTCAGTTAGCATCACAGGGAGTGGCAGCTGGCAGGAGGGAGGCACTCCATCAGGAGCCGACAGCTCCAGACTGGCACGCAGAGGGTGGGCGCAAGTGGGCTGAGTGGGGGTGGGGCAGGCTGCATGCACTCCTCCCCTCCCCTCCCTACAGTGGCTCCCC